AGTTGGAAATGAAACTAACACTTAATACCGACATTGAAAATAACCCAGGTCTTCATCTACAGACATTATTTTATTCAATCCATAGCAAGCTGACAGGTATTATGAAATTTGGCTTAGTTTTTAAAATACCCTGAATTTATTTCCTTTCAATAACTATGATATGTGATGCATAATATTCAAATAAAAAGTAGAAATCTTGTCCAAAAATAAATAAAATTAAAACTTTGTAGGCTCATAGAAGATCAGATTAAGGCAACTTGAGCAGAATGATGCAAAGCCCAAGCACCAGTATTCCAGTCTGGCTGCTGATTACTCCCGCCCTTGCACGGGCTCCTCCTCTCCAGGGTCTCGGAGCGTGCGTGAGGGGTGAAGATTCTCCTGTAGGTATCTGGACTGAAGATTCATCCTGAGGAATCCCTTAGCAATGCAGCAGCTTCTGGGGCTTTGCACACTCTGTTTCTTGTGCCTCAAAAGCTCTTTCTTTTCTATCCTGTCTCCATTGTTATCCGGTGACCACCACTTTTCAGGGCCAAGCTTGGACATCACCTCCCGTGGGACATCTTCCCTGAGTTCCTCTGACAGTCTGAAATTAAGGGTCCCTCTTCAGTTCTTTAATTGCACTCTATACTAACTGAATCATAGCACATTGGAACTATTTGCTTTTTCTCCACAAGTCTGCAATAAAGGAATTGTGTTTTGTTCAGCCCTTGCACAGTGCTTGACATCATAAATGCTTGTTATGGATTGAAATGGGTCCCTCAAAAAAAGTTGTGTTGAATTACCAACCCCTGATACCTCAAAATGTGACCTTTTTTTGGAAATTGTAGATAAAATGAAGTAAAAAGTTAATATTGGAGTAGGATGGGCCCCTAATTCAATATGACTGGTGTCCCAGTAAGGCAGCCCTGTGAAGACAGAAACACACAGGAAGAAAGCAATGTGACCATGAAGGCAGGGATTGGAGTTACACCACTGCAAGGCAAGGAATGCCACAGACTGCCAGCAAACCACCAGAAGCTAGGGAGAGCTAAGGAAGGATTCCCCCACAGGTTTCAGAGGGGGCGTGGCTCTCCCAATGCCTTGGTTTTAGACTTCTAGCCTCCAGAACTGTGAGACAACAATATGTTGTTTAAGCCACCCAATTTGATACATTGTTACAGCAGCCCTGAGAAAATAGTTCTGTATTCAATAAATTTTAAGGGAACAATGAATGAGTGACAATTCTTACCTGGTGATGACAAATTTCTATCTATGCTGTTATTTCTTGCTTCTAGTCCTTTTTAAAATCATTTTTTACTTTTCAATTACAGTTGACATACAATGTTATATTAGTTTTAGGTATATACCCCAGTGATTAGACATTATATAACTTACTAAATGATCATCCCAATAAACCTCATACCCATTTGACACCATATGTAGTTATTAGAATATTATTAATTATATTCCCTGTTCTGTATTTTATACCCCCATGACTATTCTGTTACTACCAATTTGTACTTCTTAATCCCTTCACCTTTTTCCCCCAACCCCTAACCCTCCTCACCTCTTGTAACCATCAAAATGTTCCTGTATCTGTGAATCTGTTTCTGTTCTGCTTGTTTTGCTTTTTTTCATATTCAATTGTTGATAGATATGTATTTATTGCAATTTTATTGTTCATACTTTTGACCTTTTTTTTTTCTTCTTATAGAAGACCCTTGAACATTTCATGTAATACTTATTGGTTTGGTGATGATGAACTCCTTTAGGTTTTACTTGTCTGGGAGGCTTTTTATCTGCCCTTCAATTCTAATGATAGCCTTGCTAAGTAAAGAATCTTGGTTATAGGTCCTTGCTTTTCATCATTTTGAATATTTTTTTGCCAATCCCTTCTGGCCTGCAAAGTTTCTGTGAAAAATCAGCTCACAGTCTTATGGGAGCTCCCTTGTAGATACCTAACTGCTTTTCTCTTGCTGTTTTTCAGAATCTCTCATTGTTTTTAACCTTTGTCATTTTAATTATGATATGTCTTGGTGTGGGCCTCTTTAGGTTCATCTTGTTTGGGACTCTCTGCATTTCCTAAACTTGTATGTCTATTTCCTTCACCAAGTTAGGGAAGTTTTCTATCATTATTTTTTTTTAAGTTTTCAATTCCTTGCTCTTTCTCCTTCCCTTCTGGCATCCCCATGATGTGAATGAATGTTGGTATGCTTGAAGTTGTCTCAGAGGCTTCTTACACTATCTTCATTTTTTTAATTCTCTCTCTTTCTCTCATTTTTTTGTTTGTTTTTGCTGTTCTGATTAGGTGTTTTGGGGGGGGTTGTGTCCTAATATTCAAATCACTGATTTAAATCTTGGTTTCACCTACTTTATTACTGATTACTTGTAAATTATTCTTCATTTCAGTTATTGTATCCTTCACTTCTGACTGGACAGTTTTTATGGTTTTCATGTCCTTTTTTATGCTTGGAGTTCTCTCTAAGTTCATCTACTTTTCCCCTAAGTTCACTGAGCATCCCTATAACCAGTGTTTTAAACTCTGCATCTAGTAGATTGTTTGTCTCCATTTTGTTTAGTCCTTTTTCTGGAATATTGTTCTGTTCTTTCATTTAGAACATGTGTTTATGTGCCCTCATTTTGGCCTCTTCCTTGTGTTTCTTTCTATGTACTAAGTAGAGCTGCTACATTTCCCAGGCTTGGTAGAATGGCTTCATGTAGTATGTATCCTGAAGGGTCCAGTGGCACAGCCTTGCCATTCATCCAGACTGGGCCCTCCAGTTATACCACCAACCCCCACGAAGGCTGTGTACACCCTTTTATTGTACTTGAGCCTTGATTGCTGTTGGCACATATGATTTAATTGCAGATTGATTGGCTGCAAGGACTGGCTGAGACCACCAGGGAGGATCAGCTGTGCCAGAACCTGTCTAGTGGAACAATACTTATTTCAGTGGAGTTCTGGTGCCCACTGACTCTGCCCCTTGAGTTTGTCACTTGTGGATGTAGTTGTGTGGTACAGCAACATAGTCTGAAGATGTCCACCAGGTGCACTGGCTCTGGGGCCTCCCAGGAGGCATAGGCCAAGATCAACTACTACCTGTGTTCTGCCTGGGGCCACCAGCATAAGCTACAAAGCAATCTGCAGATAGCTACTACTTGTGCTGGGCTTGGAGGTGTGCAGGAGAGACCAAGCTAAGACCAAGGCTGGATGCTGGTAGTGTCAGGCCTGGAGTCACTTAGCAAGAGGTATAGGGCATGCTGGGGCCAGATGTTGCTTATTGAAGAGACTTCAGAAAAGTTTGAAGGATGAATTGTGACAGGCCATTGGTATTGAAAAGCCACTGGAAACACCTTAGGTGGGGTGGGGCAGGGTGTCAGGGAATCGCCAGGGCTGGGTGAACCGCATAGCCAGGTTGCTAGAGAATCAATTTTGGTACCTGCCTGCTGGCTTTGGGGGGTGGGGGGGCAGAGGGGGAAGGCAAGGAGGATTCAGAAAAGGAACAGTGGCCTCTGTTAGCACTTCTGTCTGGGAGAAAACTGCCCCTCCAGCTCTGTTCCTGATGCTGGACACTTCAGTTCATTCCTATATATCCCTGGTGCCTTTCAAGCTGCTGTCCCAGTTCAATGACTCAGAGAGAGTCCAAGTAAGTCCATGTAATGGCCCTTTAAGAGGAATACCTGGGGTTCCAGAAAACCTCCATCTCACTTAGCCTTATTCCTTACTGGTTATCACAGCCAGAAGTTATGAGAACTTCTCTTCCTGACATTGGAACCCTTGTTCTATGGGGCCTGGTGTTGGACTGAGAACCTTTGATCCTCAGGAGGTCCTAGCAGCCTAGATATCCCTCCTGATTTTTAACCACCACACTGGGCATGGGGCACCAGCCCATTTTGTGTCTCCACTCCTCCTGCCAGTCTCATGAGGCTTCTTTACATCTTTAGTTGTAGGACTTTCATTCAGCCAGATTTCAGGCAGTTCTGAATGATGGTTGTTCTGTAGTTTAGTTGTATTTCTGATGTGGTTGTGGGAAGATTTCTGATGTGGTTGTGGGAAGGTTATGAGTACCACATAACCTTTGCTACCATATGGACTGGAAGCCTCTTTCTTCTAGCCTTGATCTAAACAGAACTTCTTTCATTTTATTTGGTCATTTGAAGCTACAAGTTTTGTTTGCCAGATTCTCCAGTTTTTCTTTTGTTCTCCAATTCTCCAGATGAGGTCTCTGTCTGGCTATCTCCAAAACTTAATATAACTGGATTCTATGAAAAATAACTTGTAACTATACTTGCCTCTTTTTATATAATCTGTATCTTGATAAATCTTTATGACTGAATTAAATTAGTTTTTTACGCTTAGGAGAACTTACCTGAGAATGTACATGTCTCAACATCTGAGACAGGAGAGATGAGAGAATAAGACTCTTTCATATGCAAACTACTAGAGTGAGCCCTGTGATCATGGACCTAGGGGGCAGCATGTTGTTTGAGCTCACCAATTTGGTAGCTTACTAATGATACAATTTCCATTTAATGGAAATTTAGTGGGGTGGTCAATAGCTTAGACTTCGTTATCAAATACAGCTGGTATAAAATCCCACTCTGCACTTAATAGCTTGGGTAAGTTATTTATCCTGAGTAAGCTTCAGATTCCTCATCTGTAAAATTGGATAATAGTCATCAAACTTATGAGTTATTATAAGAAAATGATGACATAATGTATATGAAGTTCTTAGCATAGTTCATGTATTAAAGTCTTAATAAAAGCCAATTATTAGATACATAAGAAACCCCCTTTTATTTGGAATCAAAATCAAAATATTTTGCAGATCAGCATCCTCTCAAATAAAAACTGCATTGTGTTACAAATTAAAAGTGTAAACCTATCATGGAAAAATATTTTTAAATTCAGCCCCAACATACAAGAAGAAAAATGAAAAAAAAATTCTACCCTTGGTGGACATAAAACTTTATTAATGAATTAAAAACTCACCTGCTTTTTTTTTTCGCCTTTTAAACAGGCTAAAAGGAGAGATGAGATTCTCCAACTCTTAAGAAAACAAAGAGAAGAGAGGATCTTGGTGAGACTGGTAGTGAGGCACTTGGAAAAATCTCTCTGCTGGGGGTGGGGCTGAACTATGGCAAATTCTCAGAGGTTGACCCCTTAAATCTAGATACACATGGCCCTGAGCCACTTATATACCAGAGGGGGGCAGAGTGTAGACATCAGATAATTTGGCAATCCTTGGTACACCAGAGACATCTCCAGAGTGTGCTAGATCTGCTGGCAGAGAAATGCGGCATTATTGTCAGTGAGTTTATTATCACCCGGTGTAAAGCTGTTCTGTATTAACATGGATCACTGCAGTGCTAAGGTTTGTTTTACCATGATTGCTCTTACTTAGATCATGCAAAAGCAAATGCTAAGTGAAGAAAACAAACTTAATAAAAACAATAAGAGCACCCTGTAAACTTATGAATGAACAAACACACTTTCCTGAATGAACCCAAATCCCTAATCTGGAACATTTCTGACCTTGCCATCTCCAGATGGAAGAAGCTAGTCCATATAGATTCTGTGATAATTTTACCTCGGATTTTTTTTCTATTAAATTTCAGTCAGTGCAAGAAACAAAACAGTTCCTTTTTAATTTTTTTTTGTTTAGAAAGAACTTGTCTCCCTTCCTCACAAGCCAAAGACCAAAGTACACAAAGCAAAGTAAGTATACTTCTGTCAACTATTCTCACTGTTCTATTTTCCCCATAAAGAAGCATTTCTTTTTTCTTACTCACTTTGCCCTCTACACTCAAATTTCTAAAAACCATGACACTGATTTAGGAATTTCTTGCCTTGAATAAAGTTTCCCCTCATTTACATTAAGCCCCATGATATATGCAAGCATAAATTGGTATAAACAGGAAAGTAAGTCAACCTTGTATCTCTGTACCTATTCTCTTCCCCTCCTTTCTCAACCTGGGTTATTGTAGTCACCTGCTCTTGCCCCTCATCTCTCCTCTCCCCTACCCACACCTAACCCCACCATCTTTGGAAAATCAGAAGGCCTTCTAGATGATCGATGCTGATGTCACCAGTGGCATATGTAAAGTTGTTCAATCTAAATTCACGTAGCAAGGGCTTTACCCTCACAGTGATGGGTGAGTAGTCTTATTCCTGGGATAATGTTAGAGCAGGACCAGGCACATGGTTCAGAAGAGTTCAAAGGAAACCAACTACTGCTAGTTAATCATTAACTAAAAATCTCAGTTTTTATATTATGACTGAAAACTAATGTGGCTAACTCAACATTAATTTGACAAGTATTTATTTTAATACTATAGTCTTCAGAAAAGAACAGAAAGTAATTTTTGTTCTTATCTCACTGGTATTGAGGCTGACTCCCTTTAATGTTATCAGATGTTATTAAAGAAAAAATAGTACATCTACCCTAATTTTTAAAACTTTGAAGAAAATGAAAAGATCATTCAATCACCTGGCTATATCTTTTATATAATGTTCAGAAACTTAATCACTCTCACTGTAGCCAGATGATTAAATTTAACTTCTAAGGATGATGCAAAACTAGCTCTATCAAAAGATTCACTTATATCTGATTCAAATAATGCATGAAGACTGCTATTTGCATATCATCCACAGGTATCTCTGGGGGCCTTTGATTTCTGGGCATATTTTTGCAGGACTGATCAGAACATTTCTGCTACTATCCATGTGGGTCTATCTAAGAGTAAAACATTATTTCACAGCTTGAACAGATAACTCCCTTGATGATTAATGAAATTCTTAATTTCTTTTGTGTATCTGCTTGCTAATTCTCCCTCCTCTGTCCTTGGTTTTCATCCCATTTCACTGTGATATCCTCTTCCTCTGAGCTTCTCATACTATTATCAACTTTTGGCAATTGACCAAGCACTACTTTGGGCTCATATTTTATAATTATTCTACTCTTATTATCTCTTGAGTTGTTATTTAACTTGTCACATATCTCTAATTTGTCTATGATGGTACTGTGAGCTCCATGAGAAATGGGGTCACTCAAAGTGCCTAGCACACTGCCTGCATGTAGAGATTCAGAAAATATTTGTAATGAAAAAAATTCATTTTAAAATATGGGATATTAGTTAATTTAGAAAGTGGTATTTTATACAGAATGTTAGTATATAAACTAACTAGATTTTTTAAATTTTGAATTATTTTAGACACATTGTAAAATATTATTGCCCTCTTTTTCCTCCCTCCATTCTTTCCCATCTGCCCAAACCCCCACAGGCACACAGATACACCCCTGGTGTCCCTTCTCCAACAGACCTTAAGATAATCCAAGTCCCCTTCTGTCAGAAAGAACTAGAAAGTATGTACAAAGTAAGATTTGAGTAGCAATGTGTTTATTATCCACCCCAGGAATATTTGTGTTGTAAAGAGGGCTGACTAGAAGAAACAATGGGCAATCCAAAGAAATCAATCACCAGTGATGAAATTTCCCAAGTTTGACTCTTGGGTGAGCAAAACACATTAAGGGTTAGGAGTTCTTCTCCCACGCCCTTCAAGTCACACTGTACAGTAGAATAACCACGTCTTTTGCACATAGGTTTATACTTGGTTGCAAAATCTAATGCATAGTCAGAATCTAAAGTGGCAAATCTTTATTGGGGAAACTTTTAAAAGCTGATTTCCTGCTACTTTGAGTTCACAACTACAGAGTTCTGTGTTTTGGAACTGATTCATGTTACTGCCAACAGGAAACTGATTCCAGAGTCAAATAAAGAACAAGAAGAAGTCAAAGCCTTGAACTAATTTGATGGACACACGGCAGTGGATGGCTTACTTTGATCTTCACTTTTGAAACAACCTGCCTTTACATCAGGTTCATTGGGGTCATCAGTTAAAATAGGCAGAGAAATAAAAGTTAAGTATTCAGACTTCTAGGAACCTTACCAGTTATTGAATACTTTATCTATGTTACTTGTTGGGAACTACTGTATTTGACAGCACACGGTACTATCTCTCATCTTTCACAGTCTCAAACTCCTACTTACCTTATTTTCATTTGTTATTTTCAGAATTGCTAGACTTGATCTGTATTATGAATATTGGATAAACAAGAAGCAGGACTTTATGCATCCCAACGTGTAGACAACCAGTAAAAATAATAAGGAAATAAGAATGAAGGGGCAGTTCTATAAAGTCTTCTTTCTATTAAAGAAAAAATTTGTTTTCCAAAATTTATTTTCTTAAGTTTCTGGAACATGTCTGAAGTCAGAAATGAATTGTTTCTAGTTCTGTGAAGAGCTGCTTTAGCGTTCCTATGTCACACACATGTACAACCTGGTGCCTCCCTCCCTCCCTCCCTTTGGTGTATATTGGAAAAGAGAAGGTTAAGCATCTATCCCATCTGCGTTGTCCAGCTGGCATTCTTGCTCAGAACTGTACACTCTGCTCCAGTGCTCACAGCTCTATTTATGATCACTGTTCACGTGGCCTCCACCTGAAACTCCTAGATATAACCTCCATTAGATGCAACTCCTACTCCACAGTACAACATAACTTAATCACAGGGACACACCAAACTGCAGGGGAGGCCAGGAAATGGGCTTTAAATGGGGGTGGGTCTGCCTAGTTAAAATTCAGGATTCTAACACAAAAAGAATTAGAGAATGATAGTAGTGGGAACTAGTAGTTTTTGCCACACTATTTGAAGAAAAATGTTTTGAACAGAAAGGAGACATCTGAAAAAAGGAAGATTAGAGAGTTATAAAATGAGAATCTCATCTCAGCACTATTAAGAATAAAAGGCACCCTATCAGGATGATGTGTTTTGTCTGCCAGATAAATATCTATAAAGAAGACGGACATAGCAGGCTATCAAAGCCCAAACTTTCAAATCATATAACTAATTCTCTTTGCTCTGATTCCATGCTCACAGAGAAATCTTTTTTCAATGTGCTCAACATTAAATGCAAACATCAGTTTACCTGATAATTGTATTTCTTAATGTGTGAACATATTAGTCTCTTAGATTGGGTTTGAGCTGGTCAAACTAAGGATTATCTTGGTTTAATTATCTGGACCAAGATAATTAAACCAAGGAAAATTCTACTTTGTTAGCTTTCTTGGCAATCAGCCTTCCCCCAATAACACTTGTTTGCATTACCGGGCGTAATGGTTAGGTATACTGCAATAATACTGAGTGACAAAGTGACCTAAAACAACACGTATTCTTAATCACACATCTGTAGGTCAGTGGGGGGGTGGCTGATCTAGACTTGGAGAGACAGCTGTGCTTTGGGCTACAGCACATGGGGCAGGGCTGGTTTTCACTATGCATTTGTTGATTGGGGCAGCTCTGCTCCTTGTATCTTCTTTGGGATAAACATGAACCAGTGGGACATCTAAGCTATGTACCTTTCAGAGAGTGGCAGAGAAGCAAGAGAACAAATAAAAACATGTGAGGCCTTTTCCAGTGTGGGCTCAGAATCTTCTGGTTCATTCTATTGGCCAACTAGTCACATGGTCAAACACAAAGACAAGAGGTAGGGAAACATACTGTGCTCCTTTGGTAAGAGGAACTTCAAAGTCACATAGTAAAGGTTATAGATACAGGATATGTGAAGAATTGGGGTTGTTATTGTAATCTAGTGGATTAGGTTGACCATATACCTTAACAAAGTCTATCTGGACAAGGGCCAGGGTATTAAAGGGAAAACTCAGGGCACAATTTAATTAATTGGATGAGGGTTACAGCTTCTCTAAGTTGTAATAGATGTTGTAATATTGGAAATAAATCTTTTGCAACTGACACTAAGTGACCAGCTATCTGCACACTTGAATATCTATTTGCCTTACCAACCCTTCACAAAACTTAGGGTAACTTTTAGTGTTGCCAAGATTTAATCGAAACTTAGGCAAAAATAAAAATAAAAATCTTGAAGGCCACACGGACATTAAGTGAAGAAAAGCAGGACTGGAAACTATCAGATGCCAACTCGAGGGCCGGTTTTCACCATAGCAGCTCTCCCTTTGATTGTTTGGATAATCAGGAATTTCTAGAATGTACGTTCGATGTGAGAGGTTCTGATTCGGACATAAAGACTGGCTGTAATTGAACTTGCCATTAGCTCCTGCTGATGCTCCTATTTTCTTCTGTAGCAGAGCTTCCCCCTGTTAACAGCTGGAACTGCAACAGGCCCACAGCCGCTGCCACCACCACCGCCACCTGCATCCAAGCCTGTTCGTCTAGAATTACAGTGGCTCAAGCTGAAACCCAGACCCAGAAGTCAGTAGCCCAGATGGAGCTTCTGTTAGGCTTCAGAGAGGGGGGAAGCAAGGAAATCAGACCCACCTTCTGTCACTTAGTACCTTAGTTTTGGGGCAGGAGGCTCATGCTATTATTGCCTGAATATATTTGAGAACATTTTGCTAACTATAAGAAGCAAATGTAAAACACAACTGCTGTGGGAGTTCAGAAGGAGGAGGACATAATGAAGGCTAGATTGTTGAGGAATGCTTTTCTAGAGGAACTGATGTCACTGTGTCACAAGTCCAGGGCTGAAAACTCAGCCCCACATCCCAACACGTGCCCTGCAAAAGCAGTACAATGTTATTTCCTTGATGCATTTAGAGGCGCCCTTTGGCCTCTGGTGGAGCTGCTCTCCTCTCAGCCAGACCTCCACTTGGCCTCCTTCTCTGGATGCCATCCACGCCGTCCTATAATGCGCCTGGCCTGCGGCACACCATCTCCCTCAGCATCTCTTCTCTGCATCTAGCGCTCCTTTCTCAGGAGCAGCCCTGACAGCCTGCGCTCGAACTCTACCCCGCCTTAGGAAGGTCTGAGTGCCTTGCCTCCAATTGGCCCATTCCGCAGAGCCTCGACTATGTCCTCAGAAGTTGGGGCGAGTTGTGGTTCAGTTTTTAGCCACAGTGCTCTCATCATTAGATTTCAGAAAAACCAGACTAGGATTTTCCCCAAGCCCTGAGCCCTAAGCAAACGCAGGATCTCCTTGGGAAGCTCCCTCCCCGCCTCTACTCGCTCCGCTCCGGAGGGCCGGGTGTCTGGTGCCTGGCTCCAGGGAGCAGGCAATGGGGGCGGGCCAGCCAGAGGGGCTGCCCTCCCTGCAGTGACGTCCCAGGGGGCGGAAGGGAGCCTGGCTGGCTCTGCGCCCTCCCGGCCTGGTCCGGGTGTCGGTCCGTGGGTCCTCCGGAGATGCTGCTGTCGCGTTGGCAGTTCTGCACGCTGCTGAAAGTCCACCCGCTGCACCGCTGTAGCACCCGGGTGTCGGAGGGTGCACTAGAGCCAGGCCATGCAGCTGAGAGCGGCACTGCAGGCCGTGTTGCTGGCCGAGCTGCTGGCGGGGCTCCGAGGGGCGATGGGTAGCCTGCTAAGTGGTGAGTACGCTGGGGTGGACTCTGGTTCCCTGGAGGGCCAGGCTGCCGCACCCACTGATCGCCAGCCTCTACTGTCCTCAGGGCTGAGGTGCCTCTTTGGCCCGCCGCGGGGTGGGGGTGGTGAGGGGTGGCGCCCCAACCCTACTGGTGGACCCAGCCCTTCGGCACACCCTGTGTCTAGGGGAGCAATCCCCCTGTGGCTGAGACCCGCGAGGATTCCCTGCCTATCCCGGGTAGCTCGAAGTCCATTCCCGCCCCGGGGTCACGGGAATTCGGGGGACGTAGGGTAGGTGGACAGTGAGCGAAGCTGCCCTAGTAGGCACCCCTTCCCTTGAGCCATGGCGCAGCAGAGCCCGGGACCCTCGCGCAGGCAGGGCTCACCGACTCCCTCGTCCTGACCCCTGCGGACGTCTTCTGACCCCAGAAACGGCGGGTACAATAGGGATTCTGGATCCGCAGTGCCTGTTATTCTTGGTCTTTGGGGGGGGGGGGGGGGGGGGGGGGGGAGAGACGAGGGATCGCTGAATCCAGCACTTGAAATAAAAGCGCTCAGAGATCCGGAAAGAAGCCTAGTTTGCACGGGACATGCCCCGCCCGACTCAGAGAATAACTCTCTCTGCTTCCTTCCTCCTGTGGCATCTGCAGCCCCGAACTTGGACCTCAGAGGAGGTCCAGTGCTTTGGCTTTCCGCGTCTTCCATTGAGTCTGCATGTCGGGGTAGAAGGTCCGTGCTCCCTTCTTTCTCAGGTCGGCCTCGCAGGCGACAGACTGGCTAAAAGGGACGGAGGAGAATGAAAACCTGCACTCCGTTATCGTGCTTGCGCGGCGGACTGAAAAAATCTAAAGATGGTTTCAGGATGGGGTGGGTGGGGGAAGTGTAGCTGAATGGGGCTGCTTGGGTTCTGCTTTTTTTTTTTTTCATGGGGGACAGAAGTCCTCCTGCCCTCCCCCTTCCTGCAAATAAGAAGAGCGAGACCCTTCCTGGAGGCAACCAGATGTGCCCCTGGACCTCCTTCCAGCTCCAGCTCTCCCTCTGGACTCCCAGTTGAGGATGCGTGGCCAGGCTGGACCACACAGGAAATGCCTTTAAGGTGTTACATTTTCCCTTGATAATCCAACAGTGTTCAGTGGGGACTACCAGGAAATTCAACTCACACTTATGTTTTGCAGGCTGGGGAGTCCTGGGGCCCCTGCATTTGTGCTCTGTTGGCTGTTGGGAGCCATATAGACGTCTCCTTCTCCCCAGACAGGAGCCCAGCCTCTCTGCCCAGGAGTGCCAATTTCTCTAGAATAGCCCTTTAATGAAAATGTCCTGTGTCTGAGGCCTGCCTCCTATATGTCTAGCAGGACAGTTCTGTTAGAGTTTATTTAGCAATAGCAGAGTGACACAGAAAAGAAGAAGATTCAGAACTCTTATAACTTGTTACTGAGAATTTTTTTTTTTTTACCAAAGCAATGAAAGGGAAAATAGAAAATAAGAAATCACAGGAGATTTCTGGACTATCCGTAGGTGCTGTGTTCCCATTCGCACTGTATTCTAGACAGTATCGAGAACAATTGATGCTATCTGGCTCCCTGCACAGCTGCAGGACAAGTTAGAAACATGAGAACATTTCGTGAGGGCTGGCTGGGAGGTTCCCAAACCAAAATCTTTTATTTCTTGCTTTATGACAGCAATTCACACCCGCAGCCCACAGTCTGGCTCTCTGCTGCAAGGTATTCCCCTTGTTGAAATTTGGTTTTCACTTTGTACATCTGCATCCAGAAACAAATACTGTCTGCTCCTGTGGGCTGAGAACTGGCATTTGTTTCCATATTTCCTGCACTCACCACCATGCTAGGCACACACTGTGCACACAATACAAGTTGATTTAACAAGGGAATGATGAGGCAAATGTCCCAGGTAGAGCAAGGCTTCAGGCACTCAGGCACAAGTCAGGGGGGTGTGCAATGGTGAACAATTTGTTATTTGCTCCTCAGTAGGTTCCCATCTATTTGTCTAACATGATCTTCTGCCCTTCATGTGTCAGTCAGGTGAAACACATTCCTTGGGCTCCCAGTGCAACCTGCACCTAAGGTGGAGCAGGGAGTGGGCAGTGTGGCTCACTGGCTACTGGCATGACTTTGTAATGAGATCTGGGCTCTGACTTGGGCAGTGCTGCTGATAGCTACCTAACCTTAGCCAAACTACTTAATTTCTCTAAGCCTCAGGTTTTTCATCTGTGAAGTGGAGCATAAATAATATCTACATCAGGGGCTTGCTATGAAAATTCAATGAGATAAATAATGCGTGTAAATGTAAAGAACCTTAGCACAGTTCATGGCATGTAGTGGGAGTTCAGTGATCCTTAGCCGTCTTTAGGAAAGATCAGCAGCAGAACACAGCATGGGTCTGATGCTCGGAGTTTCTGCTTATATCACACACTGCTTATATCATGTAGCTTCTGCTTATATCAGTCCTGCTACTAGGCAGAGGGCTCCAAGGTAGAAAAGCCCATGCCCAATTTAGAATGCCTCTCTTACCTGAGGAAGCACCAAACAGAGACACCTCATTCACAGCCACACTCTCCCCTGACATTTCATAATTGCATGAAAGTAATTTTTGTGCTTTTAAGTGAAATCAAATTTTCATCCACCTCTCTTTTTTTTTTTTTTTGGTTCTTTGTTTTAATTAGAGAAAGGGGAAAGGCAGGAGAGAGAGGGGGGAGAAATACCCATGTGAGAAACATTGATCAATTGCCGCTCATCCATGCCCCAACTGGTGACGGAACCCATCACCCAGGCATGTGTCCTGACCAGGAATCAAACCCACAACCTTTTAGTTTACAAGAGGACACTCCAATCAACAGAGCCACACCAGCCAGGGCCATCTACCCCTCTTTTAAAGGATAGTAAAAAATGTCTGTTGTTCAAGAATCTGTAATAGAACAAACAAAACATGGAGCTCCTACACAATATAGTTTAACTGACTGCGTCTCCATGCTGGAAGGGGTATTAATTCACTCTGAGAACCCAAACTGACATTACGACAGTCCACTGGTGAGGAATCAGAATTCCTGCCCTAGGGATGGCTTCATCCACATGCCGTGGTGCACGTGGGGAGCCCTGAAATAGGCTGGCTTCTTTTTTCTGTAGGGCAGTCCATCTGCAAGGGAGGAACACAGAGACCTTGTTATAAAGTCATGTACTTCCATGATGCTTCTCGAAGACTGAACTTTGAGGAAGCTAGAGCAGCCTGCTGGAGGGATGGTGGCCAGCTAGTCAGCATCGAGTCTGAAGGTGAACAGAGACTGATAGAAAAGTTCATCGAAAACCTCCTGGCATCTGATGGTGACTTCTGGATTGGGCTCAGGAGGCGGGAAGAGAAACAAAGCAACAGCACAGCCTGCCAGGACCTTTACACTTGGACCGATGGCAGCATATCAACTTTCAGGTAAGTGTGTGGAACCCACAGCAGCTAACACACTTGACATAACTAAAAAAGGAGGCAGATGCCATGGTGCCAGGTCACCATGAGGGAGAGGAGAAGGCTGACCCTGGCAACAGCCCTGAAGAGACAGCTGCACCAGATCAGCACTGACCAGAGCAGTGTGGTAAAGGTGGTGCAGCAGCCTTGACCTGGGCCCAACTCATATCCACTGAGCTCCGTTCAGCAGGGTGCAACCCAAAAGGGTTGTTTCAGTGGCATACAATGCTTCACATCAATGGTTCTGGCTATCTGGCTTTTCGGACTAGAACTCCACTGAGAGATTAAAGATCTGTGGGGCTCCAGACCACAGGGAATCAGAATGATGCGCAAAAAATCAGAGCCAAGATCTGATTCTACTGATTGGCCAAGAGAGGACTTGAGGAAGGCTGCAGTTTGTAGAACCCTCCCAAACCCGCAGCATCAGGACTCACTCATTTCACACCTGACCCTGGCACCATGGCATTGCCATCGCCTTCCCCACCCCAGGAAATGCAGTAGCATGGACAAACATCAAAAATATGAGATTAAAAGGCAGACACGAGACTGGGAAAATGTTGTAACAAATTTAACAGAGTATCTTTTTATGAATTTAAGTCAAAACATTAAAAGTTTACATAAGTTAATAAAATCCCAAAAGATAGAGGAAAAGAACCTAAGCAAACATTTCAGGAAATACAAAATCCGACTGGTAAACAATCATATGGAAATGCAGTTTAAACTCCTCATTACCAATCAAAAGAATGAGGTTGAAATATATCTTCTTTACCTATTACATTTAAGACAGTATGTCAGCATCTATTGTACCCATCATGCCGATCACATCCCCATCTTCCTCTGAGTTCCAGGGGTTCTTCTTTTGGGATTCTCATGGGCATTTCCTCCTGGGAGAAACTTTAAAAAGGAAGGTTAGTAAGATGATCTGCACTCCCCTCTGCTGCAGCTGGTCCCAGGGCCACAAGGAACCTTACTCCTCTCCCTCCTCTACTATCAGTTCCAATTCCCCTTGCCCTCTGCTGAGGGAGAGGGAGGCCCTAGTCACCTTGCACTCCTCGGTGCAATCGCTTTTCCATTTACCATCAAAATTGGCACATAAGTACCGACAGATACCCAAGTATGTAACCTGGGTGCCAAACTTATCTCTCTGCCCACGTGTGTAACAGCAGATGTTCTTCCCATGATTAGGGTCAGTCACCATCTGTCAAGTTAATGAGTCCTCTTCTTGCCTGCTGGTGCCTGGGCATAAGGATCCCCGAGTGCCCAAGTGACAGCCATAGCTCGTAGTTCAATAAGGCTCTTGCTATATCTTGTAATGGGTACCCTTTGGGTATGAGGACCTTTAAACTCATACAGCCCAGCATTGCAGAGATAGGAAGTACAAATATTCCAAGTGACAGTAATTGGGACTATTCCTGCTTCCACCCATATTCTTGCAAACCCATATATTCTTACCCTTGGAGACACAGGGTGATACTAAGGTCATTCATTCAAAGTATACACTGCATCTTGGAGGATGATGCCCTGTTCGTACAAAGTATTGCCGCTAAGCTAGTGCTTCAGCTGTGTTTTCAACAACTCTTCCCTCTCTCTGTCAGGCTGGCAGCTTCAGGATAGTGCACAACATACAATAGGACTAATAAACCCATGGCCAGGTGCCTCCTCCTTCTCCTCCTTTGCTGGAAGGTGGGTCCCTTGGTCTAATGAGATGTTGCACAGGATCCTGTGTTGGCAGATCGAATACTGTGTAAGCTTTTGGTAGTGATGCTGACTAAGGCCCTGAGGCAGGAAAGGCAAACCCATATCCAGATTGTACGTCGATTCCTGTCAAAGTGAATCACTGGAAGAAGTTCAATGTCATCAACTCTCTACCAAGTGCCAGGCTGATCTCCTAGAGCTGATAATCTTTCAGGGACTTAGCATTGGTCTCTATTGCTGGAGGCCAAATTTTTGCCAGCTGCTAGATCACCCTTGGAGAGTGGGGACTAGTGCTGTTGAGCCCAGGCATAGCTTCCATCCCTGCCACTATGGCTGCTCTGGTATCTATGGTGCCAGCACTTGGGGCAGCTGCTCACAGGCTGGCTGACATCAACTGGCTGAGTCATGTTGTCCCCCTCATTGTTTAGGGCTCCTTCCATCTAGAAGCTTTCTGGCAGACTTCAACACATGACAGAGTCTCATACTCTGCCTATTCTCATAATGTCTTTTCACATCACTCTATCCAGTAGCTCCTTGTCCCCAATCTTTCACCCTTTCTCCTAAAGGTTCTTTTTCTCCTGATCAGCTGGCCAAGCTCTCCACTCTACCCCTGAGTCCTTTTATATTCTAACTTCCAATAACTGCCAAGTAAGCTCTGGACATTGGGAGGATGTCACCTTAACACTTAATTTTTCAAGACCACCTCTGAGTGGGGCTGGAGTGCAGCTGTTGTCCATTTGGTGCTATACTCCCTTACTTGGATGACCTCTCCACAAACCAGGCTTGGGCTGCTTCTCTCAGCTAGTCATGAGGGATCCCTTATACAGCTGTGGGTATCAGCAAAGGAAGAGGCACGAGAATGGTAGATGTCATGAAAGCCTGCTCTACCTTCACTTTGGTCCTACTCACACAATGCCCTTTCTTTCTGTGTATACCTCTTCCATCTCATAGTGGTTTTGTTCCAGGCCTGCCAACCTGTGACTGTGCATGTCTGACAATGCCTCACTCATGATGGGCAAGTTAAACTGAATAGTCTGGTGCTCCTTGCATAGTCGCAAGCCACGTGATTCTTTCTCAGCTAGAGATGACATGGTCTTGCTACAGAATCCTAGGGGTCTTTACTGTGATTCTCCCACTGGGGCTTGTCACAAATTCTATATGGCATTATTTCTCCCCCTACTGATGACTCTGATAATATGGTCTACTTGATCCTATGGCCCAAGTAGCAAGTCCGTTTGCACTACACAGCCTACACCTGCTTCAGAGTCCTTTTCTGCCCATTCAAAGCCAGCAGCCTTTGTGTCAGCTGATATAAGGGACAGAGGCATATTCCCAGGAGTGGAATATGCTACCTCTAGAAGCCAAAGAGGCCTACCAGGTGCCATGCTTCCTCCTTGGAGTTATTGTAAGGTGCTTTAAATTACTGCATGAAATCCTTTAATTTGAAAGGCACCTACACATTTTCATGAAGTAGCAGGTCCCTGAATCTTCATAAGGTTTATCTCCAACCCTTGGAGCACACAAATTTCACTAAGAAGGCCTCCGATATACTAGCTGCTTCTTGCTCATCTGGTTCAATTGGCACAATGCCAGCTATATAGTGGACCAGTATGATTTTCTGCAAGATATCTAGGCAATCTGGGTCTCCTCACACCATATTAGGACAGAGGGCAGGAAAATTAGTATAGGCTTGAGGGAAGACTATAAATGTGTATTATGGTCCATTCCAAATAAATGCAAACTGTTTCTGATTCTTTTCTTGATAAAGATGGAAAAGGATATGTTCACCAAATCTACATACTAGGTACCAAGGTCATGTTAATGTGCTGTAGCAAAGATACCACATAAGGCATAGCAGCAGCAATTGAGGCTTCTTCTTGGTTCAGTTTACACCACTTCAGTATTATCCTCTGGGATCTGACTTTTTTTTTCCAGGAGCCAGACTAGTGGTTCAAACAGAGATATGATGGGGGAAGACCATTGTTGCATTCCCTAGGTCTTTAGGGAGGGTACTACTTTCTGTCATCTTCCCCTGGATAAGAGATTGTTTCTGTTTATTATCTTGAAGAGGGTGGAGAAGAATGCAGATTCAGAGACTTCCACTTGACCTTCTCCACTATTATAGCTCTTACCCTGTGGACTTTCAATTTGTGTACTTGGGGACTGGAGGATAACCACTGGATGAGTCCCACCATGAGATAGCTGGCCCTGGTCCAGGATTCCACTTGATCCCTGGCCTCAGTATGTTCCCACTCTAATGGGTAGCCTTGATAACACTGAGGTTTTTGGGTATCAGTGTCACTTTGTACCTTGTGTCTAACAGTTTTTATAATACTTGGGTATTCCTCTTTTCCAAGTATATGGTTACTTGAGTAAATGGCCATAGGTTTGTTTGGGAGAACAGGGAAAATTATTACCACATGCACCTGCCATGGTATTGCAGGGTCCTTGGAATCTAGCCTCTCCCTTCTATCAGTGAGTTCCGAGCTTGAAAACTGGCTCAAGACCAGAAACCAGGTAGCAGGTATAATATTCCATCTATTCTATCATCTGTGAAATGAAATAACCTAAAGTCATAAGGCCAGGGGGGAGAAGAGGCCAGTAAGTGTAGGAAGCCCCCAGTGGAGCTGCAGAATGGCCTGGAAGTAACTAATGAGGTGCAGGGCCCAGCCCCAGACAGGGCCGCCGGCTGTCCAGGCAGAGTGTCTAAGCAATGTTGCAAGGTCAGATGATATCCAGGCATATAAAACCCTATGGGTACAGGGGTTTGGTGGGTGGCACCTTAGCACTCCAGCAGAGCCATAGTGGGGTGCTATGAGGAGACTTGTCTCTTAGCTATCTCCTAAGGAGGATCTCTGACAAGAGTAGGCAGAGCAGCAGGGCCCAGCTAACAATCTGAGCATCAGGGCAAGGTCTGAATCCTGGAAGCAAACAGCTCAGGTGGCTTACTAGGCAGACTAGAGCCCAGCCATGGCTTAATGCATGGGGTGTATGCTCACAGCACTTAGACTTTCCATGGAATCTACAGCCTGGCACGCACATATTCAGTTGGGTGGCAGTACCATGTAATTCCAACTACCACTGTATAGTGGAGCTAAGGCTGCTAATGCACCTCATCCAGGAGTTAGGGAGACAAGGAAGAGAAAATGAGTAGTGGAAGCTGACAGAGGGGCCTGATGAAGTGGAAATCACTGAAAAATGCTACATGGGCCTCTTGCTCTTTCTTGTCCCCTCTCCCTTGCCTGTTTTGACAGCCTCTACATTTTGGAAAGTCTTCCAGGGCTAGGAAGGTGCTTATATTCAATTAAAAAGTACAAGGAGATGAGAGCAGGGCAAGGTCTGGATAAGTCATGCCTCTTCTCAATGCATCTGATTTCTAAACAAAGAAAAACAAACCCAGTTATCAAAAAGCAAGAAAGAAATAAGATTGTCCAGACTGGCGCTGCCAGCTGCCTTTTCTAATAATTACTTTGCAGACATCATAAGGTAATGTATTCCTCCCTCCCTGCAAAGAAGTTATGGCAAACGTCAGATGATTGACCGTGCTGTCCATAGCAGAAAGCATGCAACTATTCTTACTGGCAGTACTTCAATTCCTCCCTCTCTATCTTCTTCGGAAGCAGACTCTTAAGTTCATGGCTCTGTGTTTTCCCATCATGGAATTTGATTGGAAAACACAGGCTTTGAGGTTTTGTGGTATCCTTTTGCCGTTGTCTCTACTGTGGACCCCTTTCCTACAGGAACTGGTATGTGGATGAGCCTTCCTGTGGCAGTGAGGTCTGTGTGGTCATGTACCATCAGCCATCAGCACCCACCGGCATCGGAGGCCCCTACATGTTCCAGTGGAATGATGACCGATGCAACGTGAAGAACAATTTCATTTGCAAATATTCCAATGGTAATGAATCCTCTCCCAAGTTCTGTGGCTGAATCTCAATTTCCTGTCTCATTTCATAAGCATCTGCTAGTTCCAAGCATTTGCTATGTGGTCTCTGAGAAAGCTTGTTGCCAATGCCAGCAATGTTAAACACTGGGAATTCTTGTAAAGGGACATGTAATGACCCTTCCTCATTGAGGAGTAGTTCCAGCAAAGGCGAGGAGCATCAGATGCTAAGAGAAGGGATGAAGAAAAGAAAGGGTCTAATTTATGGATAATAAACCAAGAATTGTGAGAACTTCAGGAAATAAAAAGCCCTAGATGGACAGTTATGAATCCTTACTCTTCCCACATGTGATGTTGGCTGTAGGATCTTGGAATAAAGAAAAAATATGAAAGGAAACTGGCCATTGTACCTACAAGTCTTCTAAGAGTCCTGTGAGATTATTTGCCGGAACTTTAAGGAAACCAAATAATGACCAAAGGCAGTAGATAATAAAATACACCTATTTCACTGGCATTATGCAAAGAGCAGACACATTGATGAACTGAAACTCCCAGGCCACCCTTTATATAAACCTTGCAAGTTCAACTGGCACTTACTTCTAGATCTGTTAAGAATATAGAGTCTATGATAATGTAGTCACATTCTGCTGGAGTTTCCCAAACTCCTCCACTATAACTGACTTGGATCTAAACTTGACATGATTTTTGTTCTGTCCCTGATGTTTCTCCCCTCCATGAAGCCAACTGCTTGGTTCCAATTCTGCATCCTTTCCTGACAGGAGTACAATGACTGGTTACATCTAGTTGGTTACTAAATAATTCTATCATTTTTCAATTGTTTGAATTGACTATGCTTTTGCTGCAGTTTTTGATGCTAAAAGGTTTCTTTCTTCCCATCCCCTCAAGTGACTGCTATGCTCCAGAGACCTAGCCCTCCCCACCATACAGAGTTGCTGTAAGCAGGGTGATTGCAAAGACAGAGGCCATCTTAGTGGGTCATCTTTCAGGGCAATGACAGCAAGAGATATTAAAGAGAATAATTCAATAAATGAAATACAATAATATTTGGGTGGAGGTTATATGGGAATTCTTTGTACTATTTTGCTAATTTTCATAAATCTGAAGTTACTTCAAAATAAGAAATTTAAAAACATTGCCTCTGGGTAACCTTCCAGGGACCCTCAAAACTAAATTAGGTGCTCCTCCTCTGAGAATTGTGGCACCTCACACACACAGTACTGTCACTGCTTATTTGCCAGTTTGTCCCCTTCACCACATGGTTGGTGAGGTCTGGAAATCTACATGTTTGACCAGTTAACCCCTGAACTTGATCAATCAGGGTCATCCATTGTGGTTCAAACAGGATGGTGTGCCATCCATTATGCTAGGGTGTCGAAGGACTGGCTGAATAACATCTAATACCAGATTTGACCCCATTGCCACGTAGAGTGAGTAGGTGGCATGCTAACCAGATCTGAACACTTGATTACTTCTGTCATATGCAAGCAGCACAGGCAGATTAAGTAAAAATCAGAGACAAGTCATCAGAGGCAATGCATTGCAGATGCACTGCAGGACTGAAGGAAATGCTGCGTTAATATGCTGATTACTGCAGGTTTACACAGTGCACTGAACCACGGAAGGACAGGACAATGAATAGATCATATCATGTTATTGAATATACTTAGTATTGTAATGTAATATCACAAAATCAATATTAATATTGTTCTATATTTCCATATTTTATGACAAAACTGTAGAGTGTAAGAGCCTGAGAGGGATGGGACCACTTCTCATTTGCTATTTTATCTCCATTACCTAGCACAGAGTTTGTTTTTTTTGTGATTTTAATTTTCATTTGAATTTATTTTAATTTTTATTTATTGACCTGAGAGAGACAGAGTGAAAGAAACATTGATTTGTTATTCCACTCACTCATGCATTCACTGGAGTATCTTTGGTCAGCTAATCTCCCAGTTTGCTTATGTACAAAATCAGAGTAATAACAGCACATACCTCAAAAGGCTGTTATCAGGATAAATTGTGTTTGCTTTTAGAAACCACTTAGAACATGATGATGTTTCTGTCCTATAACATGCACTATATACATTTATTAAATGAATGGATTTGCATCACCTCTACAAATTCATGAACTTGTGAGAAGATTAAAAGTGTTCTCTCTGAATAGCTTTGACATCCTGGCCTTAGGACTGTGAATTCTAAAATCTTTCCAGTAAGGACCTCATCCCTATGAGTCGCAGAGCATCTGATTAGCATGAGAGAGCAACTGCCAATACAAGAGGCTGGCACACTCCCAGCCAGAAGTGAAAACATGGTTACAGGTTAACTGTACAACCTGACTTTCCGGGGCTCTCTGAGATATTTTAAATGACTCAGGGCTCTAGATCACCAGTCTTCACCAAGGGGCTGGCCAGGGGTCTACTTAGCCCCCCAACTACTTCCACAGCTTGTGATCAGTGTTTGTTGCTTTCTAAAACATCCAGAAAGGAATTGTCAAAGTCTTTTGGATTGCTTTAAAATAACTCCAGCTTGAGTATAGTAGGGAAGGAATAGGGATTATTGCTGAAACTAGAGTAGCCATATGTTGATAAGAGTTGCAGCTGAGTGATGGTACATAAAGGTTCATTATTACCAGCCTTTCTATTTTTGTGTATATTTGGAAATTTTCATATTCAAAAATTTCAAAATACTTTTTAAAAAAGAAAACAGTACCCAAGCAAAGTTGGGGGAAAGCTTGTCTTTGTGCACGAGTGATTCTTTTGATGTACTAACTCCATTCCTGCCATCAAATGAGCAAATAAAATGGAATCTATACCCTGGTCAATTTCATTCAGATGGCATGGAAATTTAATTCCTATTTTTGTTTATTTTTGCTACAGAGGAACTAACGGCTCCTCCTATGGGGCCAGGAGGTAAGCCTGTCTTTGGGATTTGGGTTAATTGGGGCTATTTCCCAGCCCTTCTTTATAGGGTTAGAACCTTGAGATCTTTAGACCAGATTATTCAACATTACCAAAGAAAGATTACAGAACATTTAAACATACAGGTATGTACCACATACAGACATAATAGTTCGTTAATCTCACTCTCTAGCATTGTCTATTTCCCTCAAAGCTGAAAAGAAATACTTGCAGTTCGAAATGTTACTTGTCATTATTGACAATATGAAAGGAATAACTCGATCTAATTAAACGAGTGAGCCAAACTGAGCATCGATGGTCCTAGAAATGACTCAGGGACTCTCCCCCTTATAAGGCACCTGGGCACTGCATGTGCCTTCATGCCAGCCACCTGCTGGTTGTTTCAGGACATGATCCAGTACATGAGTCTCACCAGAAAGGTGAAGACAAATAAGCCTCTATGCCAGCAGATTCCACCCTTTGCTTTTCTATGTTTATAAATGGCACTGGTCAAATTGCTACTGCCTTTTGACACCCCACCTTGAACCTGGTAGGACCTCAAAGAATATCTGTATCATGATGCCTTCCTTTCTCCGGGTTCTCAAGTCCTTGTATCTGTCTCCAGGTGAAAGAACAGAGCCAGCCACACCCATACTTCCAGAAGATACAGAGAAAGAAGATGCCGAAGAAACCTTAAGAGAAAACAAAGGTATAAAGAAAACTCTCCTGGGAAAAATTGATAATGGGACTCTTCTGACCACAAACTACCCACAGTTACATTTCCTGCTTTCTTCTCTCCACAGCAACTTAACAATGGAACTAGACAGGGCATGTGTGACTCTGCAAAACTGCATTAAATGTTAGATTTCATCATGAAGTATGCAAATGGAGGTACCTTAAGACAATTGGGGAGATTATCTGCATGAAGGTAGAGCCTTGGGGCAGAGACTGAGAAATGGATGTAGAGAAATAAGAGCAGACAGACCCAGACCATAATGCGTAACATCCATGTTTAATATTCATTTGTGAAACAAATAGAGGAAATGGGCAAAAACATTTTAAAACTTAAATCATAAAAGATAAAAGGAAATGGGCGATAGTGGACTTTCAACCTTGAGTTTTAGGAGGGAGAGCTAGGTTTTTGTCACTAAACAACTTTTAAGAACCGCTTAACATCTCTGTGCTTCAACTTAATCATTTATATAATGGAAGTAATAATAGTTTTTTCACCTGCCTGAGAAACTGTCCATAAAATAAAACAGGAGGTTGCAATACCACAGTTCAGTTCTGACACTAGCCACCCCACTGGCACGAACCCTACAGGTTAAGGGCTCAGACCCTATCAAGTCAGCCCTCTCTTCAGACATCAGCCACAAGTCCCTGGGTCCCCAGGGCAACTGCACTTCTAACCAACTGGCTCTAAATGTGGGGGGTGCCCACAACCCCCTCAGGTTCATTAATTTGGTAGAAGGACTCAAAGAACACAAGAAAATGCTGTACTTATGACTACATTTCATTATAAAGGGTATAAATCAGAACCAGCCAAATGACAAACACAAATAAGGTAAGGTCTGGAGGGGTCCCAGACTAGGAGCTCTGGGTCCTGTCCCTGTAGAACCATGCTCCTGACACATCAATGTGTCCACCACCCAGAGAATACCATTGAGCTTTGGTGTGCAGAAGTCTTATTGAGGTGTCATTACATGGGCCTAGTTGATTTGACCATTGGCTATGTACTTGAACTTATTCTCCAGGCCTCACTCCCTCTCCACCAGCCTTCATCCTGAAACATCTCTGTCAGCATAAACTGATGTGGTCTGAGGGGCTCATGAGCAGCAGTCACTCTTATTACCTGACAAATTCTAAAGATGTAGCACCCCTCCCAGGAGCCTGGGGCAAATTTGTTATTCTACGACAGATAATACCCATATGTGAAAATATTTTTATAAAAGTACACAGTGCAATGCAGAGATGAGTTCCATTTTTATTGCTTTTTGTTATTATGGTAATATTTAAAGTAGGTTTTATTTGGGGCTTGTGTGTGAGTGTGTGTTTCTGTGTAGAAAAACAAAGCAACAGCCTCTGGTTGGATGGTATGAAAGGGATCAGTCCCCAATCCTTGATTCCTCCCCAAGTCCCTTGAAAGATAATTCCCCAACAGAGGGTTCTGCAGTCTGATGCGTGTGCTCCATAGGACTTGCTCTTTCCTGGTAATAACTCAAACTTCTGGCTTCCTCCTTTTTCTAGCATCTCCCTTGCCCCACCATGGGAACTGCCATTTCCCACTTTCATTGTTAGAGTCGGAGACATCAGTGCTGCCCAAGCAGCCTCTTCTTCATTAAGGGAGAGGAAGGACAAGAAGAGAGAATATCTTTTGTATGGACAAAAAAAATTAGTTAAAACTTTTCTTCTGATATCTACAGGAAGCCCCCAAATTTAAACTTCTTTTCTCTGTTACTTAAAATAATAGAACAGGTAGAAAATGCTCACTTTTTTTTTAAGTAGATGCTTTTTGCAATTCTCTGTGTTGGTTACATTGATTATGATTTTTAAGCCCATTTTGAACCATATAAAAACATCACTGATAAAAGTGCATTTTTCTTTTCAGAAGCTGCCTGGAATGTTGCCTACATCCTAATCCCCTGTGTTTCCCTTCTCTTCCTCCTTGTGGTCACCACCATTGTATGTTGGGTTTGGATCTGGAGGAGGAGGCAAGTACAACTTTCGTCATGTAAATCTTTATGTCTTCTGAACTCTGCAATTTGGACATTGCTCTGTTTACTTCATTAAAAGCTATGCCAGCTCCAAGACAGCTACCACAGCAGAGTGAAGAGTAAATTCTTGACCACGCTCAACTAATTGACAAGTACTAAGCATTTATGCTTAGTTGTGATTCAGAGTAATCTTCCATTCTTTAATTTTATTTTAATGACTTAAGGGGTGAAACTGTTATTCTATAACTACTCATCAGCGAAGTGCTCTTATAAATGCATACTCTGACTCTAAAAATTTTTGCTGGGTGAGTGAAGGAATGAATAGTAACCCACATGAAAAACATCTTTTTCAAATCATTCTGGCAAACTTCTGAAACCAAATCAATTTATTCAAAATGAAATAGCCACATTTGACTTTTCTTTCAATTAAGCGCACGATTGTAGATTGCTGCAAAATAGCTATATTAATAGCCTAGGGCAATGCTGTTTACAGATCTTGTGACACCGTTTTGAGATGCCCAGAGCTCTTCTCCGCTCCCGTTTTATTCCCAGTATGCAGAAGAAGGCTGGCGGGCCCATTTACAATGAGAAAACTAAGATCCAGTTTAAGATTTGACACCCTTTGATGACCAATTTAAGATGAATTAGTATAATTCCAGTGTAGAACCTACTTCATTTGATAACAATTTCCTTATAGAATTATTAAAATTAAGGCAGTTAATATATGCAGAATGGGCATAAAGTAAGCACTTAAGAATGTTAGCTCTTACTATAATCATTTTTATTAGCTGATTCCTTTAAATCTGAAAATAGAATTAGCTCAAAAATTACAAATGCATTTACAACTGCTTATACTGCAGCTGGTTCTTTTATTTATTTATTTTTTTAGGATAGTCCAAGGAATTTTATTTTTTATTTTTTATTTTTAAATATATTTTATTGATTGTACTATTACAGTTGTCCCATTTTACCCCTTTATTCCCCTCCACCCTGCACCTCCCCACCTGCATTCTACCCCTTAGTTCATTTCCATGGGTCATACATATAAATTCTTTGGCTTCTCCATTTCCCATACTATTCTTAACCGCCCCCTGTCTATTTATTACCTAACATTTATGCTTCTTATTCCCTGTACCTTTTCCCTCATTCACTGTCTCCCTCCATGTGATCTCCATTTCTGATTCTGTTCCTGTTCTCATTGTTTGCTTAGTTTGTTTTTGTTTCTGTTTTTTAGGTTCAGTTGATGATAGTTGTGACTCTGTTGTCATTTTACTGTTCATAGTTTTGATCATCTTTTTCTTAGATAAGTCCCTTTACTTTTTCATATAATACGGGCTTGGTGATGATGAACTCCTTTAACTTGACCTTATCTGGGAAGCACTTCATCCGCCCTTCCATTCTAAATGAAAGCTTCGCTGGATAGAGCAACCTTGAATATAGGTTCTTGCTTTTTATGACTTGGGTTACTTCTTCCCAGCCCCTTCTTGCCTGCAAGGTTTCTTTGGAGAAATCAGCTGATAGTCTTATGGGGACTCTTTTGTAGGTAACTCTGTCCTTTCCTCTTGCTGCTTTTAAGATTCTCTCCTTATCTTTAATCTTGGGTAATGTAATTATGATGTGCCTTGGTGTGTGCTTCCTTTGGTCCAACTTTTTTGGGACTCTCTGGACTTCCCGGACTTCCTGAAAGTCTATTTCCTTTGCCAGACTGGGAAGTCCTCCTTCATTATGTTTTTTAATAAGTTTTCAATTTCTTGCTCTTCTTCTTCTCCTTCTGACACCCTAATAATTTGGCTGTTGGAACTTTTAAAGTTGTTCCAGAGGTTCCTAAGCAACTCCTCAATTTTTTTTGAATTCTTCTTTCTTCATCCTATTCTGGTTGACTGTTTATTTCTTCCTTTTGGTCCAAACCATTGATTTGAGTCTCAATTTCCTTCCCATCACTGTTGGTTTTCTATATATTTTCCTTTATTTTACTTTTCATAGACTTCACTTTTTCTTCTATTTTGTGACCATACTCAACCAGTTCTGTGAGCATCCTGATTACCAGTGTGTTGAACTATGCATCTGATAGGTTGGCTATCTCTTCATCACTTAGTTGTATTTTTTCTGGAGCTTTGATTTGTTCTTTCATTTGGGCCATTTTTTGTCTCTGTGTGCCTGTTCTGTAATAAATGGTGGAGACTCAGGTGTTCACCAGGGCAGGGCAACCCAGGTCAATGTGCTGTGGTGCTGTATATGGGGGAGGGGTCCAAGAGGGAACAGTGCCCCTTGTTCAGCTCTCAGCTGTCTTTCAGTCACTTCCTCTACTACCCACAAGCATATTGGACCCTTCTGGTGCTGATTCCTAGAGGGGTAGTTTTGTGTATGTTTTAGGACCCTTTGTGTCTCTTCAGCAAACTCTCCTGTGGGGCTATGAGTTTCTCCCACTTCTATAACCCCTACAGGTTTTTTCAGTCAGAGGTTTGGGGGCTTTATTTTTTTTGCACTGGAAACTTGGGTTGCGTGGTCTGTCTCACTCACCAGTTGTTCCTCCCAATTTATTCCCAAGCAAATCTGGGGCTACACACTCTGCCAGACACCACCTCACTGGTCCTGCAGCCACTGCCTTTCTGCGAGTCCTCTCCATCCTGGCTGCCCATCTCCACCCTCCCACCAGTCTGGGTGAATGTTTCTTCTTTAACTCCTTGGTTGTCGAACTTTCACACAATTTGATTTTCTGGCATTTCTGGTTATTTTTTGTTTTTAAACTTGTTGTTGTCCTTTTGGTTGTGGGAGGAGGCACAATGTATCTCCACCTTGGCCAGAAGTTGCAGTTGGTTCTTGATTTCCCTTCCTTAATCTATGTCACCAGGATTTGGGAATTGTGACTCTGAAGCTGTAGTCTATTTCACAGGTAGTCTACTTCACTTTTCTTGTGCCACAGACCTCTGTAGCAGTCTGGTGAAGTCTATGGACTCCTTCCCAGAAGAATATTTTTAAATGCATAAGATAAAATGCATTGGATTGCAAGGGAAACAATCATACTAATATAGAGTTTAGCAAGATATTTCTAAAAAAATGAATGTGATACAGTAATAAATGTATGTCTTTATTAATGCTTTTTTATTTAGTGGTGGGTATAATTATAATTTTGAAATAGAGATGAGAGTAAAATACTTATCTGTTATAACTGTGATGTGATATGAAAATATGTGTGATTTTTATTGTTAATCAAGTCCAAGATATTACTAATTCTATTCTGATTTATTGCCTACAGTTAGGATTGAAGGACATGCTAAATTTCACTGAGAGAAAAGCTTTTTTTTACTATGATATTTGTCCCCACCTAGTTCTATTCATGGACCCTCTGGAAGCTCTGGGGATCCCAGGATAAGCATCTCTGTTCTGTGCTCTAGAAGCAGTGAACAGACTATCACTTTAAACATAACAACATTTCATGTTTTTCCCCCACCCCACCCTGAAGCCCTGACATGATAAGTTCAGCTAGGTGACAAGTACAGCTAGTGATTGCCCAGGATGACCTCATCCTCCCTAGCAGGAGGCTCAGGGATATTCTCAGTCCACCTGTCTAAAATGCTCAGCCCTGGTTTCTTTCCTAGGAATCAGGAGCAGCCCAGCCCCAGCACAAAGGAGCAGCACACCATTTGGCCATCTCTTCACCACAGACCAGACCTGGAGGTTTACAACGTCATACGAAAACAAAGTGAAGCTGATTTAGCTGAGACCCGGCCAGACCTGAAAAACATTTCATTCCGAGTGTGTTCGGGAGAAGCCACTCCCGATGACATGTCTTGTGACTATGACAACATAGCTGTGAACCCATCGGAAAACGGATTTGTCACTCTAGCGAGCATAGAGAGTGGTTTTGTGACCAATGACATTTACGAGTTTTCTCCCAGCCGAATGGGGAAGAGCAAGGAGTCTGGATGGGTAGAAAATGAAATATATGATTATTAGGACACATGAAACACATTTAAACTTACAAGAACAGGAATAAAAAGAGTTGCAAAATTTTTCTATTTCCTATAAGGAAAACACTCAGAAGGCCTATGAAAGTGCTGTTACCAAGTCCTGGGAGGTGAGCATGTGATCCCAAATATCCCCTATTGAATATATCCCTTTTCCTTGGCCTCTCATCCAGGTCTATCTTAGAAGAAAGCACCTTGCCCAGGGTCTGGACATAGTAGAAGATAAATGTCAGTTGGTTGGTTACAGCTGACATACAAGGGACAGTGCCTTCATTAACAGGAATAAGGCTGTGGTTATGGGACTTGGGACACCCGTCCCAGGTTCCGTTTTTGTTTTTGTTTTTTTCCCAGCCCATGTAATCACGGAGAGACAGAAATTACAGCAGATTTCAAAGCCTACTTATGCTAGCATCCGGCTGGCCTGCATATCAGCAATGCTCGTATCTGTTTTTTTCAAAGAATCAAATCAAATCAAAAGCAGGAAGAGGAATGTTAGTCGGTCTGTGTCTACAGCCCTTCCTCTGCATGTGGCCTCATGGGACCTTTTTTCTTCCTCCTGACATCCCAACTTGGAAATAGTTTAGAAACAAAAATGAAATTTGAATTTGGCTTCTAGGGTTATTTGTGTTCCAGCCCTGACCCTGCACATTGTTCTGTTGGTGTGTTTGTTTTAGAGCAGCATCAACACAATGTTGCTAATAATAATGATGATTCTTCTCTTTTGTTTTAGGAAGCTATTTCCAATATTTTTGGATTCAAATCCAGAGAAAGGTTTCATAGCCTCACATCAGTCATTTACCATTTGAAGGTCTGAAGGCCATTATTTAAATCACCAGCAACCTCTATCAGTTTAATATTATTTTAAGCATTTTATATATATATATTTTACAGTGTGTAGCTTTGCCTCACATGTGGAGCCCCAAATGAGATAAATTAACTAGTCTGGGTCAGGGCCACATCCAACACAGTGGATTGTAACCACTGCCCAGTGACCCGTCCTGCTGGGGGGTGGGGGGCAGGGAACAAGGTGGACATAAAAACATCATTTATGCTTGATTCAGGGAAGTGTATTTGGTGGAGTGATTGCATTTCAAGCAAAAACAGTGACCATGTGGTCTGAAGGACTAATTCATTGCTCTAAAATATTGAAGTCTCCATCTTGCTGCACACATCTTGGCTCTGTGATCTGTCCCATTATCCTCCCCTGTGATCCTCAACTCTGGCCACTAATAGCTGAGAATCCCAGGAGGGCAGAGGTCCCACTGGCCCTATCAGCACAGTACCTCCTACACCCAAGACAGTACCTTGCACAGAACAGACAGTCAGCACTCGTTGAGTGGATGAAAAATTCATCTTTCAGACTGATCTACAATAACCTAAATATTTCAAAAGTTCATAGGACCTGTTTTTCACACTCCACCTGGGTAAGGGTAGTAATTGAGTTATTTTAGTTTGAATAGCACTCCCACTAACGGAGGAAGACGGAAGAGTAGTGACAAGTAAACAAAGCTGGTGAATTGCTAACGACTTGCTTTAATTATGTCACTTAAACTTGAAATGAGGACACATTGTTAAGGTTGTAATCTCAATGACCCTTTCAGCATCTTCTCTTTGTCGTTCATGTGTTATCTGCACTGGAACCCACAGATTTCTTCTTTCTGGATTTGCATGCAGCCAGCCTTACCCTGCATCCACATTATTCAATTTCTTCTCCTCCTCAGATTTACTATCCTGAATTTGCCCAACTCCATTACTATCTCTAATAATTGCACTTCACTTGTTTAACAAACTTTTATCAAATATTTTGTTCATATTGAATATCTAGTTTATCTAGTTATCATTTAAAAATTTAATAAACCCATTTCATCATTTAAAAACCATGGTTCCATCCAGAGACACATGAAGAGATGCTCAATATCGTTAGCTATCAGAGAGATGCAAATTAAAACCACAATGAGATACCACTTTACACCAGTCAGGATGGCTATAATAGACAAAGCAACAAACAACAAATGTTGGAGAGGGTGTGGGGAAAAAGGGGACCTTAGTTCACTGTTGGTGGGATTGTAGACTGGTACAACCATTATGGAAAACAGTATGGAATTTTCTCAGAAAAATAAAAATTGACCTGCCTTTTGACCCAGCAATTCCACTGCTAGGATTATACCCCAAGAATCCTAAAACATCAATTTCAAAGAACCTATGCCACTATGTTCATAGCAGCACAATTTACAATAGCCAAGAGTTGGAAGCAACCTAGGTGCCCATCAGTAAATGAATGGATCCAAAAATTGTATGGTACATACACACCATGGAATTTTATGCAGCAGAGAGAAAGAAGGAGCTACTACCTTTTGCAACAACATGGATGGAACTGGAAAGCATTATGCTGAGTGAAATAGGCCAGGCATTGAAGGACAAATACCATATGATCTCACCTTTGACAGGAAGCTAAAGAATAAAACAAATAAGCAAATAGAATAAAAATAAAGACGCTGAAATAGAGAACAAGTGGGCAGCGACCAGAGGGGAGAGGGAAGGGAACTTAAGGGGAAAAAGGGGGAGGGATTTTGAGGAACAAGTATGAATGACACAGAGATGAGGACTTGGGGGGGGGAATGGGAGGGAGGGGGGGAGACCGGGCGGGGGGGGGGAAGAGGGAAAAAAAAATGTACTTGAAAAGTAACCAAATAAAATTATTAAAAAAAAAAATAAATAAATAAATAAATAAATAAATAAATAAATTAAAAAGGTTGGTATTAAAAAAAAAAAAAAAAAAAAAAAATAAAAAAAAAATAAAAAAAAATAAAAACCATGGTTCCCAGGTGTTCCCCCCCTCCCCCAACTCTGATATACACAAGAGATGAAATGCATCTATCAAATAATTCCTTGGGTCTATCTACTTAAAGAGAATTTATTGAATATCTACTCTGTGCCATACACTGTGTTAGACGTGGCACATAGGCCAAGGCTTGAATTACTTGGCTTGTACAATAGGTTACATACTTTTTTCAACATACTAGCTAGAAAGACTTTTTTCCCCTTGTGTTAGTTCTTTATTCATTTATTCACAAAGTTTAATTTATACCTACTTTGTGTCAGGAAACATGATAAATGCTAGGCATGTGATGATAAATAAGGCAGACACAGGATCATCTCATGGAGCTTACATTCTAGTGAGGAAAGAAGACACATCAAAACATAAATGAGTGAAAGAGAATTCGCTATAGTTTGTTTTTAATTTTGTACATCTCTTTCTATTCTCCTTCCCCTTCTCTTTCTTTCCTGTTTATTCCTGGACACTTCAATCCTAAAGCTATTAGGTAGGCCAGAGGGAGGTAGGCATCCATGTCCAGAAAGTTGCAGGAACTTGGTGGTTCACGATTGGCACCAACAGGGTGAGAAAAGTATCCACAGAGAGGACGGATTTGGCTCAGATGTGGCCTGAGTAGGTAGGGAGGCCATCCACACAGAGCATGGGGCAGCAGTCACAGTGGGAGGTTGGTTGCTCAAAGGGGAATTGGCAAAATAGGTAAGCATACTAAGGGTAAGAAGAGCCAGGTGTCTTGCTCTCAGAGATGAAAGTTGCAGATACAAAAAGGGAGAAAATGAGTGGAATTCATGGTATTAGATTAAAATTAGAAATATTGGTGTGACCTCATGGTTTTCAATACAGAGTATATACAATACTTCTGACCAGAAAAAGTCTAGCTATTGTTAATGTAACAAGAATGGTTTGTGCAACATCAATGTAAACTGTCAGCCCAGGAGAGAGGACTAGAATGAGCATGCATAGACAATGATGACTTCACTGTACTAGTTAGTGGAGGCAGTAGACACCGTTGAATAAGGATATGTACTGTGTGTACATCACATTTAAAATGACGGAGTGAGTACAAAGCAACAAATCTCTATCAAATTTTGCATTAAGCTTGAATATTCCTCCATGGAAACTTTTCAGATGATTCAGAAGGCCACAGCTATGGGCAAGTGGCAATTGGGAGCTTCATCATGATAACATATCTATTCATCCATCACATCTTGTGCAGAGTTATTTTGGCAAAAACATCAAATCACTCAGGTGACTCAGCCCCTCTTCAGCCCATATTTGGTGCCCTGAAACTTCTGGCTTTTCCCAAGACTAAAATTACCTTTGAATGGGAAGAGATTTCAGATCATTGTTGAGATTCAGGAATACACAATGGGGCAGCTGATGACCATTCTAACAGAGGATTTTGCAGTGTTTTCAACAGTGGATGAGACGCTCACTGGGAGAACTGGGAGAAATACCAAGATGCCTACTTTGAGGGGGACTGAGGTATCATTGTCCTGTGTACAATGTTTCTTGTATCTTCTTCAGTAAATGTCCCTATTTTTCATATTACATGGCTGGATACCTTCTAGACAGACCATATATATATATATATATATATATATATATATATATATATATATATATGTATATATATATATTCAAATCTAGCACTCATATCTTGGCTTCTAAGTTATGTTCTCTATGAAAATAAACCAGGATTTCCAGTCAAGATGTGCATTGTAGGCAGCCATGGCTCACCTCTTCACATAGACACATCAAAATTACAACTAGCGTATAGGAGAACCATCATTCAAAACCATCAGAGATCAACTTAAATGAGAGTCTGATGACTACAGAGTTGAAAAAACCATATTCATCCAGACTGGTGGGAAGGATGGAGATGCAGGACAAGCTGATCCCTCATCCATGTGTGGTGGATAAAAATTCAAGAGAGATATCTCAGGAGCAAATAGTTTCAGCACCACAGCAGGCCTCCCAGTCCAGGGTTCAAGTGCCAGAAGGTAAGTCCCCATAATGTCTGGCTGCAAAAACCAGCAGGGATTGAGTCAGTAAAAGAAACTTCTGGAGCCCCAAGCAGTTCTTCTTAAAGACCCACACACAACCGGTGAACAACCTAAAGCTCTGCTCTTCACCCAACTGTGAGAAACAGCAGAAGGGGCTGCCATTTCCCCGCTCTGACCCAGCCTCCACATACAGTGTCATAACCCAGCGACCTGGGAGTCCAAGGCTCCGCTCCTCACACTTAAAGGGCGGGAACAGAGCAAAAATGGCTCAAGAAGATCTCAAAGCCCCAGAGCCTATAAATCTAAGCAATGAAGAAATAGCAAAACTCTTGGATGCACAGTTTAAAACACTGGTGATCAGGATCCTCACAAAACTGGTTGATTATAGCCACAAATTAGATAAACATAATGAAGGCAAAACTAATTGAAATGAATGGAATTGCACAGGAAACTGATAGCGATGAAAAGGAAACTGGGACTGAAATCAATGGAGTGGACCAGAAGAAAGCAAATAATGGCCAAACAGAAAAGAGTCAAGAAGCAAGAATTCAAAAAAAATGAGAAGAGTCTTAAGAACCTCCAGGACATCTTTAAATGCTCCAACATCCGAATTATAGGGGTACCAGAAGGGGTAAAGACACAGCCACCAATGGAAAACTTATTTGAACAAATAATAAAGGAGAATTCCCCCTATCTGGCAAGAAATAGACTCTTCAGGAAATCCAGGAAGCTCAGAGAGTCCCAAAGAAGTTGGACCCAAGAAGGAACACACCAAGGCACATCATAATTACATTAGCCAAAATTAAAATGAAGGAGAGAATCCTAGAAGCAGCCAGAGCTAAGGGGACAGTCACCTACAAAGGAGTCCCCATCAGACTGTCAGCAGATTTCTCAAAAGAGACCTTGCAGGCAAGAAGGGGCTGGAAAGAGGTGTTCCAAGTCATGAAATCCAAAGACCTACAACCAAGATTGCTCTATCCAGCAAAACTTTCATTTAGAATGGAAGGACAGATAAAGTGCTTCTCAGATAAGATCAAATTCAAGGAGTTCATCATCACCAAGCCCTTATTATATGAAATGTTAAAGGGACTTACCTAAGAAAAAGAAGTTAAAAAAACATGAACAGTGAAAGGACAGCAAACTCGCAGTTATTAACAACCATACCTAAAAAAACAGCAAACTAAAAGGACAGCTAGATCAGGAGTGGAAACATAGAAATGAAGATCTCAAGGAGGGTTAGCAACAGGGGAGTGGGAGGAGGAGAAGGGGGGAGAAGGTACAGAAAATAAGTAGCATAGACAGTAGATAGAAAATAGATAGGGGGAAGGCAAGAATAGTATGGGAAATATAGAATCTAAAGAACTTGAGACATATGGTCATAAACTAAAGGGGGGGTAATGGTGGGGGCGGGGGGGTAGGGTGGAGGGGAATGAAGGGGGGAATAGAACAACTGTAATGGCATAATCAATAAAAAAATAAAAAAGAAAAGAAAAAGAACCACACAGACACAAAAAAAGACCCACACACAGACTTACCTACTCAGACTCACTCCCTCTGAGCATAAAAAAGAGTATGGAGCTCAGAGTATGGAGCTCATGCTGAGCTCCAGCATGAAAGGCACAGGTCACATACAAGGAGGAATTGAAGTGTCTGGCATCAAGTCAAGCAGAGGCCATTATCCCTTTTCTAAACCCTCTCCCCACAGAGCAACTGAGCTGACAAGCTGGTGCCATATCTGATACTCCATCAACTTGCCTAATACTATTGACTCACCTTGGAGATCCCCAGAGATTCTGCCCCACACAACACACCAGCCCGCAAAAGCTGCTTTTTCGTATGAATGGCTGGTCTTGGCTCATGATGCACAACTTCCTAAATCCTGTCAAACAAGCAACAGCCAGCCTCAGTGAGTCCCCACACCTGGCACTAGCAGTAGCCAGCATAGATTCATAGCTTGGCTTCACCTGTGAATCTCCAAGCCCAGCACAAGTAGCAGCCATCTCAGATTGCTTTATAGCTCAG